GTTTTCGATAAAACTGATTCCCCATAAGCCTTTTGTAGCATTCGCAACGATTCTGCACACGAAATTTCGTTCGAAACCCAAAATTTGATGCAAACTCTTTGTTCAATATTTTTTTCCATTGTTTTTTTCGCAACGCACTACTGAGGTGAACTGGTTTCAACAGCTGCCGTAAACGAACTTTCTGACAGATCGCGCTCATTTTTGGCATAGTAATTAAGGACAGTGCTGCCAAACTACATAAACTTAAAATATCGAAAAATATACAGCGCGCGAATTTTAAATGAGAACCTCCGAAAACCTTTCGGTCACAATGTATATTCTTGATCACTCGACGAGTTGAGTTCATTTAGCCTTGTCCGTCTGTCTGTTTCATCCTTAGTTTTTCTGTTGGTTTTGAGCATTTCAAATCATACTTTACATACATGATTTTGGAGAGTGGACTATATATTATAGATGCCTTATAAACTCAACAAGGGGATATGAATTTTTTCTGTTTTTAATGAAGACATTCTGTCTAATTTTGATACAAAATGTACTTATATTCATATAAAAGAATACACAAAATTTTATGCATATCGATTTATATTTAGATATAGCATATAAACTGTCAGATAAGACACAGCTTCGACAAAGCCAAAGAAAACATCTTTACTTGCTTATTTTTAATTATAACATAATCAAAAAGTCTGATATATCTCTATAATATATTAAATGTAATAAAAATTTGTATAATAAACAATATGAATTTTACTTTTTTCTTTTCAGAAATTTCTTTACAAAGCATGCAAAAATGGACATCCACATATTGACTGTTATTGCAATTGTTTTACTCGTTTCAATCCTTTTGATATTCTTTACCTTCTTCGATGTCCTTTATTCTTTATTCATGCCTTCAACGGAGGCAAAGCCAAAAGTGAAAAAAGTTCAACAACAGAAAAAGGATCAGAAACGAGAAAAGAAGCAACGTCAACGTGATCAACACAAGGATAATGTTGAGCAAGATGAATCCGATGCACATTCTGAACAACCATCTGTTGAAGAAGAACCCCAGGGTCTCTCGAAATTGCATGTTGAATTTGAGCCCGAACCAGAAGTTCTTACTTTTAATGCAGAACAATCTAGCAGGCGTGCTAGTAACTCGGATAAAACAAATACTAAACCGAAATCTAAAAAAGATAAAAAACAAGTCAAATCTGGCATCTTAGTCAATAAAACTGAACCGGTTGCTGTCAAAACTCATGCAGCCATAGAGGAGCAATTGAATAACTTTGAACAGAAACCACCAAAGGATGTACTCGAGCTTAAAAAGCAAGAGAAAAGTCAGAACAATAATATTATTAAAGAAGATAGACAAGCTGTCAAAAAGGAGAAAACTAACAAGAAGGAAAAACATATTACAGAAAAGCCGACCACTGAACAGGCAGTGGAGTCTGCACCAATTGTTGTTGCCAAAGAAGTTAAGCAACAAGAAGAAAAAACGCGTGTAGGTTCACCTAAAACCCAACAAACTGCTACAAAAATAAAGCAAACCAAGAAACAACAAAAGGAGTCTTCAGCAAATAAAGAATTACTGCTAGCATTGAATAAATTATCTGACACCGACACTATCGGTGTATCGCTTTTGATGAATCTCTTCCGTCGTGCTGAACTCAATCGCTCTGAAATACAAATATTGATTGACTACCTATTAAATAAACAACAAGATATGCCTTCGACACACTCTGAATGGTCAGATGATATATGCCAAAAACTTAAACGGCAACTTGAAGAGAAGGATCGTGCTTTGTCTGAACAGCAAGAAGCCTCCACTGGTTTGCAGGCCAAACTGCGTGAGATACGCACAGAAATTAACACAGAACGCGCTCAACTAAATGCTACAGTCAAAGCTTATACTGATAAACTACAAAGCAAAGAGCAAGAGATTGCTGCACTTAATCAGGAACTACAAACTTTAAATGAAAAAGTTACACTCGAACGTCAACAATATCAGGCCAAATTGGTACAAGCAAAACAAGCTGGCTCCCAAGATTTACTTACACAATTGCAAATGATGCAAAATGAGTTGGGACACAAGGATAAAAATATTGCTGAGTTAACATGCATGGTGAATGCTTCACGTCAAGCATTCGAAGAGTTACAACAGAAAAACGATCTTATACAGCAACAGAGCCAACAAATTATAGCATTGGAGCAGCAACGTGACGAACTTGAAGAAACCTCTAATAATCAGATTTTCGAACTTGAGAAAATAAAAACACTTGAGACAGAGAATGCCGAAAGTAAAGTAGAGATTTGTAATTTACAAAATGCTTTGGAATCTGTTAAAGCCGATTTGGCACAGTCTAGTAAGAATCTAGAAGAAGCAAAATCAGATTTAACTGAAACACTCAATACTAAATTAAATGAAAAAGAAGTAGAAATTCAAGCCATCCAAGCTAAAAATACTGAACTGGCTCAACAGCTCAGTAGCAAAACAACTGAACAAAGCTTGGAGCAGTCTGGCTTGGAGGAGATAGTTGGTGCTTTAAAGATAGAGTTAGCTGAAAAAGTGTCAGAGCTCAAGGGGTTAAGTGCCAAAAACTCAGAATTATCACAGAAGCTTGCTAGTGCAGGCGAAAATACTCAAACTCAGCAACAACTAGTGTTGGAACTGCACAAACTTATTGAAACATTGAAGACTGATGTTGCTGGCAAAAATAAACGATTGCAGGATGCCGAGCAAAATGTATTGAAAGTTAGTAACCGCGAAAAGGAGCTGTTGCAACAGCTGAGTGAGCAGAAGGAGAAAAATAATGTAAGTAAAATTATTTTATTATTAGTTCATATGGACACAATATTTATTTATAATTAGCGATCATTTAAAATTTTTATTTCATTTACATTTCAAAATTTATCATAAGCTTTTAGTGGCACGTTCTCTTAGAAAATATTTATGCAAGTAATTTTCGCTTAAATTGAACCTAAAAGGATTCGAAAAAATGCTTTGTTTGCAGTAAAAATCTTAATAAGAAAAATTATTTATTATAAGTAACTAATTCAGTTTCTGATTAAAGTTCGTTTTAAGTTAAAGTATTGTAATACATTATTAAATATGCTTAATATTTTTTTATATTGTATATTATTATTATTATTATTAAATAATAGGCTATGAATGCACCCCAACCTAAAAGATCTATTGTGCGCCTAAAGGCCCAACTAAGAGAATTCTAGCAACATTGTATATAAAAGATATAAGTAATATTTAACAATCAATTTACATTTAAGAAAAATTCAAACGATTGCTTTAGTTGTAATATGTACTGTTAAGGTTTATGCACATATTTTTATCAAGAAAATTTCAATGAAGTCTATAAAAAGTCGGATTTATTATTAAACGAACACAAATTACATTCATATAAAAAAAATAAATAATTTGATATGGTGAACATTTCGTTTATGTGAACT